CTCACTTCCCGGCTTCCCTGGAATGTGCTCTCCACTGCCTGCTCCTTGCCTTCCCCTTCTTACCCCACCACTGCGGCCGCCCTCCACCAGAGACTACAACTGGGTTGCACTGGTTCGGGCAGGGGAGGGAGATGTTCCATGCTCTCCACCCCTTCAGGGGGCCTGGGCACAAGTGTGGGGAGGACTGGGGTCATATGCATATCTTGCAGCATCTCAGGGCAGGACAAGTTGGTGGCCATCCTCACCCCAGGCTGGTAGCAGCGTGGTGTGATTGGTAAACAGCTCAGTAATGACCTCTCACTCATCCTCAGTCCAGACACATAGCACGCATTGAAAATGATAACATTTGTATGGCATAGTGTATGGCCAGAAGCAGGCTTAAGCTCCACCTCGCAGCCCCAAGGCCTGAAGGCAGTTCCACCCTAGACTTAGACCAGCTGGGTCCCTGCCTTGGGCTTGTGCTTCTGATGCCTACTTCATGGCAGATAATTTTTGAACACTCTGGGAAAGGATTTTATTTGTTTTCCTTAAGTTTGATTAAAAGGAAACACAGGCAGACACCCCAAAGGACAGATAGACAAATGACAGTTAAACATACAAATACATAGTTAGTCAATAGACGTATAAATAAGATATAACATCTCTAGTAAACAAAAAAGTGTGAATTCAAGCAATGAAATACTTTATTTTGCCTCTTAAAGTAACAAAAATGGAAAGAAAAAAAGCATATCAGTGTTTGTAAGAGTTTGAGGGATATGAGCTGTCTCATATACTCTTGGCAGCAGGATAGTTGGGTAGTTGGAGAAATACTTATAGAGGGAAATTTGGCAGTATGTGGGAAAAGACTTAAAAATGTGCATATCTTTTGAAATTTTGAAGACATTTTTCCATAGCTGTCTTATTTTCAGTGGTTGTTCATGAAAATCCAGATGTCAAACTCATTCTTGATTTTTTTCCTCTTTTGAAGCTTTTCTTGTTATCATTGACTTTCTTAAATTTCACCAAGATCTGTCTAGGTGGGGTTTCTTTTTCGTTTGTTCTAATCTGGTGGCAAATTCAATCTGAGTCTTGTGTCTTTCTTCCCTTCTAAGAAATCCTTATCTATTTCTGTGAATTTTCCTTCCTCTCAATTTTCTCTACTCTCTCCTTCTGAAATTCCTATTAGGTTAAGGTTGTAACTTCTGGAACTCTAGTCCACGTCTCCTAACCTGTTTTTGTTTTTTTAATTATTTTTGTTGTTGAGAGTATACACAGCAGAACATATACCAATTCAACAATTTATACATGTACAACTCAATGACATTATCTTCAAGTTGTGCAAACATTCTCACCCTCCTTTTACGAATTGTTTCTCCCCCATTAACATAAACTGACTGCCCCCTAAGTTTCCTATCTAAACTTTTGAATTGCTGTTGTCAGTTTGATTCCATATAGATAGTTCTTAAAACAGCATAATGGTCAAGGCAGACATTCTTTACTAGTTAAGCTAAACTATTGTTTGGTTTTAAGAAGACTTCAGGGCATAGTTTTGGTTTAAGGTTTAAAGATTATCTCAGGGCAATACTTTTAGGGGTTCATCCAGCCTCCAAGGCTCCAGAAAGTATGGATTCCATGAAATTTGAAATTTAGTTCTGCGTTTCTCCCATTTGAACAGGATACTTCTATAGACTCTGATCAAAACATTCAATAATGATAGGTACCATCCGGTTCTTCTAGTCTCATGACAAAGGAGGCAGTTGTTCATGGAGGCAATTAGCCACACATTCCATATCCTTCTATTCCTGACTCTCCTTCTTCCTCTGTTGCTCTGTGCGAATAGAGACCAATTGTACTTTGGATGGCTGCTTGCAAACTTTTAAGACCCCAGGCACTACACAATGAACTAGGAGATAGAACAGAAGCACTAAACACTGTATTGGGCCAATTAACTGAGATGCCCCTTGAAACCACAATCCTAAACCTCCAAACCAAGAACCCAAATCCCATGAGGTGTTTCCTAACCGGTTTTTCATGAATTCATATATCCCTGTGTTACTGCCTTCCAGAGGAATTCCTGGACTCAGTCTTCCAGCTCACTAAATTGCACTTTATATCAGCTTCTTCACTGAGGTTTTTTTTTTCTCCCCCTCTCCTTTAAACAGTTAAGATTACTTTTTCAAGAAACAGTCTTTGATTGGGAGGGGAGGGGAATACTAAATAGACAATAGATGAGTGGTAACTTTGGTGAAGGGTAAGACAGTACACAATACTGGGGACTCCATAGACACATCCAAACTCCCTGAGGGACCGAATTGCTGGGCGGAGGACTGTGGGGACCATGGTCTCAGGGAACATTTAGCTCAATTGGCATAACATCGTTTTTAAGGAAAATGTTCTACATTCTACCTTGGTGAGTAGCATCTGGGGTCTTAAAAGCCTGAAAGCAGCCATCTGACATACGCCACTGGTCTCACCCCTTCGGGAGCAAGGGAGAATGAAGAAAACAAGATAAAAGGGAAAGATTACTCCAAAGGACTGATGGACCACAAGTACTATAGCCTCTACCAGACTGAGCAGCATAACTAGATGGTGCCTGGCTACCACCACTGACTGCTGTGACCGGGATCACAACAGAGGATCCTGGACAGAGCTGGAGAAAAATGTAGGACAAAATTTTAACTCACAAAAAAAGACCAGATTTACTAACCTGACAGAGACTGGAGTATGACCCCCGGACACCCTTTTAGCTCATTGATGAAGTCACTCTGGAGGTTCACCCTTCAGCCAAAGATTAGACAGGCCCATAGAACAAAATGAGACTAATGGAGCACAACAGCCGAGGGACAAGGACTAGAAGGCAGGAGGGGACAGGAAAGCTGGTAATAGGGAACCCGAGGTCGAGAATGGAGAGTGTTGACATGTTGTGGGGTTGTTAACCAATGTCATAAAACAATATGTGTACTAACTGTTTAATGAGAAACTATTTGTTCTGTAAACCTTCATCTAAAGTACAATAAAAAAAATTTAAAATATCTCTAGTTGATCTCTTTTTGGTCACTCTTGTTCTTATTTTGTGGTTATATTATCTTCCCTCATTTTTCTGAGTGGACTAATTAAACTTATTTAAAATTCTCTCCTGCATACCATATTAACTTCATTTCCTTTGGTGAACAGTGTTCATTTATAGAATTTATCTCTTTTACAGTGCTGACCTTCCTCAAATGTTTATTCCCCCTCTCGCTCTCTTTTTTTTTACTCATTTTTGTAACTGAAATTTCCTATTAGAATCTACATCTGTTTGAGAAGCTCAGTTGGAGGGCAGGGATGGGAATGATCCTAACTCTCGGCACTGTTTTCAGAAAGCCAGTCTTCTTGGCACGAGCCTTCTCTTTCTACTGCGTATCACCAGCCCTCAAGAGCACTGTTCATCTCTGAGCTGAGCCCCTCACAGACTCCTCCATCATTGCTGTCTGGCCTCAGCTGGGGTAGGAATAGAATGGCCGACCTACCTGGATACTCCTGGCCTCCCCGTAGGCTGCGGCAGGGCTTCTCTCTGCTTCTAGAATCCCCCTTGGTGCTGTTCTCACACTTCCTGGGCCATTTTAAAATCAGATACTCTCCATCCTCAAGTTATTCCTATTGTTTATCAGTGAGGCTGTTTTTTAATTTAAGCTGCTTTCATTTCTTTGTGTTTGTTATGGGAAAGGCATGTGCACAGTTCAACAAATTGAGAAGGAATTCCACAAAAATCTCTGTATAACCATTAAGCCAGTCATCCCATTTCTAGGAATTTATCCCAAGGAAGTAATTAAGAATAAAGTTTTAACTACAAGGAGTTTCATCACAGTGACATTTATTATAATGAAAAAGTAGAAAAAATATGCAATTATAGGGAATTAGTTAAATACAATGGTAGACTATGTTTAAAAAACAATATGGTGGACTAAAACTTCTCTAAAAAATAAAGCTTATTAAACAAAATAAGAAATACTCTTTCAAACTTACTGAATATTTGAAAAATTTCATAATAAATTTTTAGAAAAAAATAAGCATCAAACTAAGAAAAATAATATGATAGAATATTTAATGATACGAAAAAATATCTTTAATGTATTTGCATAAGAGCTAAAACTTGTGAGGCTTGACCAGAGTACAATGGCTGAACTAAAGACAAGCCTCAACTTCATTTTGGCTCTTGCTGACAACTTAACCTTCAAGGTGGAATGAAGATTGCGGGGCTGGGGGGATGTTTTTGTTTGTGGTCAGGCTAGGGAGGGCAAGGGAATGTTCCCATGAAGGTTCTGATGTCAGAAGACTTAAGTACATAGCAAAGGATTTCCTCTGCAACCATCGAACCCTTAGCCAGACTTAAGTACATGACAAAGGAAACATTTTTAATGTTTTTAAGGGAGGGTCTTGACACAGATCCTCATCACAAGTCCCCTCAGAAGCCCTCAGGAAATGTTTAAGATAATTACCTTATAACTACCTGTAGAATCTCCTTAGGCATGTATTCAAACTGACCAATCCAAATATTCCACATTTGTGTTTCCAATCGATCACTATAACCGCCCCCCTACCTCCCGCCTTGAGTTGCTCTGCCTCCTGATCTTGCAGCTTCCAATGAGAATATTGTAACCTAGTTCCTGGTTTCCGCCCTGTATCTGTCCCTGGAAAGCAGCTGCTTTTTAGATTTGTTGGTCTTTACTCTGTGGGCTAACATCTCCCTATTCAAATGTTTCCTATGCTTTCAATAAATCTGTTTACTCCACTTTAACAGAATCTGAGAGTTATACTCTAGGACATATTAAGAAGTATAAATTTCAGATTACAAAATTATTTTAAAATCTCATTTTTGTAAAAAAAAAGCATACATATTTTTATAGAAAAGTGTAACTCTGCATGGTGGGATCTCTGGAGACTTCTATTTTTGTCTACCTTTTTTCTCCATGATCTTGGGAATTGTTTACAGCAACTGCCAGGTACAAGCCTCTGGTGCCATCCTCTTCTTACCTCCCCAGGTGTGCTGGAAGATGGACTGTCCTCCAATGGTATTCCCCGATCTTCAGTCCCAAGTGGAATATCCAACCCAGAGAAGAAGATGAGCTGTGGGACCCAGTGCCCCAACCCACAGAGTCTCAGCTCAGGTCCTCTGACCCAGAAACAGAATAATGGCCTTCGGACCATGGAGGTAGGGTCACAGCCACAGAACCAACTTGGGACGGGAGAAAGGGGGTGGAGCTTGATCAGGGCAAAGCCAGGCTGAGGCTATGCCCTGGGAAGGAGCAGCAATGGGTCACTTTGGCAACTGAAATTCTCCACGTTACCCATGTTGAATTTGTTGCAAACAAAATACCAAGACTCTGCTCTTGCCTTGAGGGTTGTTTTTTTGTTGTTGAATCAGCAGAAACAGGTTCTTGATATTTCCACTCCAAACGACATGCAATGTTGCTTAAATACAGCTTTGTTGGAGGATCTCCTTTTCTGTTGCAGCTCTCACCGTCTTGACAGGACAGGATTCAATTACAGGAATGCTGATGACAGGAATCAATCTTAGGCCAGGCAGATGGCCTTTCTCAGGGATTGGTGGGATGGGGAGTACACAGGGGAAGGAGAAAGGGCACCAACATGGTAGGACACGAGCCCTGGCATTTTACTTTAGAGCCTCCAACCAGACAGGCAGTGGGGGGTCCCCAAAGAGGATCTCTCAGCAGAACATGGTGGCAGCAGCATCCCAAGACTGGTGCTGTTGGAGAGGAGGCAGGACTAGGGCATCCCTGGATCTGGCCTGCATCCTTTCTGACCCTTTCTTTTCTCCCAGAGGTATACCTGGGAGGAGCCCCTTGGTGGTGCAAGTGTTAATGCATTCAGCTACTATGAGAAAGTTTGGAGGTTCGAGTCTACCCAGAGTCACTTTAGAAGAAAGGCATGGCAGAAGTAGTTCTGAAAAATAAGCCATAGAAAACCTTATGGAGCACATTTCTACTTTGACACACATGGGATCACCATGAGTTGGAGTCAACTCGAAGGCAACTGGTTATTGTTAGGAAGTGCTCCTCCTGCTGCCCCTGGTTTCTCCTCAGTGAGAAGCCCGTGGGTGGAGTGAGAAGCCCATGAGTAGGGGAGGGCCCGGCCCAGAAGGAATGCTCCTAGTAATCTAGGCTCAGGGGTCTACAGTCTCTTCCTCCTCCCACTCGGCTCCTCCCTCCAACTTCCTCAATTTCCGCACACCCCACCTCCCTTCAAAGTCCACAGCTCACCATATGCTCCAGACCCATTCCTGACTGGTCCTGTCTTTTCAGGCCAATGTCACCTGTTTTCTGAGGGTGCAGCTGGTTATCTTATGATGGAATTCTTGTTCACATCAGTGAGTTACCTTTCTAAGCTTGCTGAGAAAACCTGTTGCACATTCAGCTCTAATGCTCATTAACTAAGTGGTCTTGCAGGAATCACTCAATCACTCAGAGTCTCAGATTCCTTATCCACAGAACAGAGATAATATCAAAATGAGAGAACAGATGGACATGTTCTTTGTTAATTGAGATGTGCTATTAGAATGGCAGTAAGGATTAACAGGGATGGTTAGCCATACAGCGTCATAACCTAACTAGTAACCTGAAGGTTGGTGATTCAAACCCACCTAGCTGCACCATGGAAGAAAGGCCTGGTGATCTGCTTCTGTTGAGATTACAGCCAAGAAAACCATATGGAGCAGTTCTACTCTGTAGCACTTGGGGCCAGCATGAGTCAGAATCAACTCTACAGCAATGAGTTTGTTTGTTTGGGTTCAGACACTGTAGAAGGTAGTGGGAAGGGATGTTACAGGGTAGCAGTAGCCTTCCTAGGATCCTGCCTATCACTCTCTGCAGACTGCTGTCAAGTTTGCCTATGCTTGTTGTTGTTGGCTTCTGTTGAGTTGGCCCCTGACTCATGGCGACCCCACGCACAACTGGATCAGACCATTGTGATCCATAGGGTTTTCCCTGGCTGATTTTTGGAAGCAGATTGTCAGGCCTTTCTTCCTATCCCATCTTAGTCTGGAAGCTCTGCTGAAACCTGTTCAGTATTAGAGCAACACACGAGCCTCCACTGACAGACAGGTGGTGGCTATGCATGAGCTTCATTGGCCAGAAATTGAACTTGGGTCTTCTGCGTGGAGGGTGGGAATTCTACCCCTTAACCCCAGCTGCCCCCTGTGCCTGTGCATAAGCTGGCCTTCCAGAGGCCCAATCTTCTCGGCATCTCTCAGAGCAGTCTGGGCACCACAGAACTGTGCTCAGAAACTGGGTGATTGCTGTGGTGTGGGGCTGACATATGGCCCCCAGCTTCAAACCCACACTTGTGCCCCCAGCCTTTGAGCCAGGAGGGCAATGGTAGTGAGGAGACAGCCTTGCCTAAAGGATGGCAGGATCTATGCTCTTGCTCCCCTGCCTTACTTCCTACCCCCATCATGCGTCACTTTAAAATTGTGTCCAGCACTAAAAGACATAAAATGATACTCATGAAGAGTGTGCTTGCTTCTTAATTCAAGTAGATACATGAGACTAAATGGGCAGCTCCTGTCCAGAGGCAAGAAGAAAAAGCAGAAAGAGATAGAAGCTGGTTAAACGGACATGGGCAATCCGAGGTGGAAAGGAGGAATGTACGGTCACATTATAGGGATAGCAACCAGGGTCACAAACGTTTATATGAGAAACTTAACTTGAGCTGTAAACTTCCACCTAAAGCACAATTAAGAAAAAAAAAAAGATACTTAAAATTGTGTCCAGCAGTTTACAAACTGCTTCTAGGGCTACCGGCTCACGGAATCTTCTGAAGAGTGCTGTGGGGTAAGCATCACCCCATTTGATAGACAAGGACACTGAGGTTCACTTGGTTGTGTGGCACGAATAAGGCCATACACGTGCTAGAGATGGGCTCCACAGTGGCGGAAGCTGTGTCGCAGGGGAGTGGCGACCATACGCAAACCTGACAAACACAGCCCCACAGGGCAGATGGTGCACCTCGATAAGCAATCCGTGCAGCTTTTGTTTTCAAAATTCAATGCACAACAGCTATGTTGTAACTGTTTCCAAAATAAGACCAGGGAGCAGAGAACTTCAGTTTAAAGCACTCGAACAGCTGCTGAAGTGCATCAGTGGTCTTTGGATCCTGGGACCTCAGCCACCAGATGCCCAGAGTCCTTCAAAGGCCGTGGCGAAGATTTTCTGTCTAAGGTGTCCATTTACAAGGGCTCCTCACAGAGAAACCCAGGTGCAGAGAGGTCAGGCCGCAAAGATCTACATTCTGTGCTGAGTGGTAAAATCCTCATTTCCCCGATTCAAGGATAAGCCTTCTACCAAGTTGTGTGTCTGTCTGTGGCGGGCAGGAGTCTGGGCTGCATGGTTAAAAGAAAATAACCCTAGACAAACCCTAGGCCCTTCTGGGAGTCCCTGGGTGGTGCAAACAGTTAAGCGTTGGGCCACTAGCTGAAAGGTTGGCGGTACAAACTCACCCAGAGGTACTTCGGCTTATACCACTCCCTTTGCTGAGTGACCAGAAATAGGGAAAGGAACCCAAACCCAAACCAGACCCATTGCTGTCAAGTTGATTCCGACTCATAACAACCCTATAGGACAGAGTAGAACTGCCCCATAGGGTTTCCAAGGAGCGACTGATGGATTTGAACTGCCGAACTTTTGGTTAGCAGCTAAGCTCTTAATGGACAGGAAAGAGGGCTGTTTATGCCCTTTCTCTACTCCAGCACCCAGCTGCTCTTGGAGAACCTGAAGCTTCTCAGCTAGAGATTATACACTTCCTCTGACTTGCAGACAATACCTTATGTACACTCTACGTATCTTCTCCAGGACCACAATGACCCTCCTCTTTTCCTGTGTATTTCTGAAGCCCCAAGGTTAAGCACTAGACTACTAGCCTAAAGGTTGGTGGTTCGAACTTACCCAGAGGCCCCTCGGAAGACAGAACCGGCGATCTGCTTCTGAAAGGCCACAGCCTTGAAAACCTTATGGAGCATTTCTCCTCTGCACACACGGGGTTGTCATGAGTCAGAATCGACTCCCAGCAACTAATTTTGGTTAACCTGTACACATGTAGTCACCACCACGACCAACAGTGGGCCCTTCTGGGAAACAGTGGGGTCTGGAACCTGGCTCCAGTCCAGGGTGGGGTAAGTTTTAGATCTACTACTTCATAAGACATTATAATGCCATGAATTGTTTGCTTTATATAAATCTTGTTAAATGATTAATTCCTTTGTATATATTCAAAAATCATTCATTGAGTATCTACTGATAAGATTTTGGGTGGGGGTGGGGTGGGGTGGGGTGGCAGAAAAATAGCACTTTTCTTCTGAATTCAGAGCCACTTTATTTTGTCATTTCACAAATGTTTATTTTTGTCAGATAGTGTTATAGGTGCTGGGGATATAGCAATGAGTGAAATGGACAGTGTCCCTCCCCTCCTGAAGCTTCTGTGGTAGAGGGAGAGAGTCAATAAACAAACAAGTAAATAAAAATATAATGATCTAATGTGCATATATATGTATAATGTACATATATACAATGGTGCAAAGGTTAAGTGCTTGACTGCTAACCTAAAGGCTGGCTGTTCGTACCCACCAGCGGCTTCACAGGAGAAAGACCTGGCACCTGCCCCTCTAAAAATTAAAACAAAAAATAACAAAAAAAAAAACTTGTTGCCATCAAGTTGATTCCGACTCATAGCAATTCTATAGGACAAGGTAGAACTGCCCCCTAGAGTTTCCAAGGAGCAGCTGGTGGATTCAAACTGCTGACCTTTTGGTTAGCAGCATAACACTTAACCACTGCGCCACCAGGCTCCCCTATGGGACAGTTCTACTCTGTCATGTGGAGTCGCTATGAGTCAAAATCGACTCAGTGGCACCGAACAACAACAGGGACAGCTACATGCATGGGTCAGGGAAGACTTCTCTGTGGAGTGACCTTGAGCAGGGACCTAAAGACAAGGAGGGAGTGAGCCCTGTGGGTATCTGGGGAATCACTTTCCAAAAGGAGGAAATGGAAGGGGTTGAGGCACAATAAGGAGGCAGTGTGGCTGGAGTAGAGCAGTCCCCCAGAAGAGAGTGGGAGGTTGATGGGAAAGGAGTGGAACACAGGTCGTATAGAAACACGCACGTTACTTTGAGGAATTTGGCTTTTTTTAAAATCAGCT